GAACTGCAAAACGAAACTCGAAATCCAAAATAAAATTTTGGCAGTATATTAGTAGCAGCAAATGAACATTGCATATGGACCTTCATATTTCTGTGAACTAACTTCATATTTGTGTTAAAGGATTTCGTATTTCTGTTAAGTAACTTTATATTTCTTTTAAGTTACTACATATTTCTGTTAAGTTACTACATATTTCTGTTAAGTAACTTTATATTTCTGTTAAGTAACTTTATATTTCTGTTAAGTAACTTTATATTTCTGTTAACTAACTTCATATTTGTGTTAAAGGATTTCGTATTTCTGTTAAGTAACTTCATATTTCTGTTAAGTTTCTTCATATTTCTGTTAAGTAACTTTATATTTCTGTTAAGTAACTTTATATTTCTGTTAAGTAACTTTATATTTCTGTTAAGTAACTTTATATTTCTTTTAAGTAACTTCATATTTCTGTTAAGTAACTTCATATTTCTGTTAAGTAACTTTATATTTCTGTTAAGTTACTTCATATTTCTGTTAAGTAACTTTATATTTCTGTTAACTGACTTCATATTTCTAAATCTTTACTGTTTAGTTTATCGACATCATATTTCAGTAAATCGTCCCCATATTTCTTTTAAGTAACTTCATATTTCTGTTAAGTAACTTCATATTTCTGTTAAGTAACTTTATATTTCTGTTAAGTTACTTCATATTTCTGTTAAGTAACTTTATATTTCTGTTAACTGACTTCATATTTCTAAATCTTTACTGTTTAGTTTATCGACATCATATTTCAGTAAATCGTCCCCAGGTTTCAGTTCATTATAATGTTTCGACACATGCGTTGATTCTGTCCCAGACACTTCGACAAAAATTAGTTTCTTTTATGAGCAACTGAAGTCACAGAACTCGAAAAATGAAGTCATAACCATAGTGGTTGATGGAAGTTACAACAGAGACTCCCGAGGATCCTTTAGTCAATAATTTTTCGACAAATACAACTTTTCAGCTGCTGGCGCATGACAAAAATGAACTCTCATTTTTTTGCTACTGGAGAC